CCCATTCAAACCTTGCCTTCTTCTTAATGGCCTGGAAGAAGTATAAGCATTTGTCGCCTGATCGGCTTAGAAATCTTCCCAAGGCCGCCAGACAACCTGTTAACTTCTGAACCTCTCGGACGGTACGAGGCGACTGCATGTCGATGACCGCCTGCACCTTCTCAGGGTTCGCCTCTATTCCTCTCTACTTGATAAGGAATCCGAGAAATTTCCCAGACTCAACTCCAAATACACATTTCTTGGGATTGAGCATGACATGGTGCCGCCTGAGTGTGGCGAAAGTTTCTCGGAGGTCCGACAGATGATCTGTCTGAAGCTTAGACTTGACAATCATATCATCAATGTATGCCTCGACGTTTCTCCCGATTTGATCAAAGAACACAGTGTTTATCATTCGCTGGAAGGTGGCCGGGGCATTCTTAAGACCGAACGGCATAACCGTGTAACAGTATAACCCTTGATCAGTGACGAAGGCCGTCTTCTCCTGATCTTTCTTCCATAAAGGAATTTGATGGAAACCAGAGTAGGCGTCCATAAAGCTCATTAAAGCATGGCCGGCTGTTGAGTCGACCAGGTTATCAATTTTAGGCAGAGGGTAACTGTCTTTGGGGCACGCCTTGTTTAAGTCTGTGTAATCTACACACATTCGCCAGGTGCCATTCGGCTTTTTAACAAGTACCACATTTGCAACCCAGTCTGGGAAGTAACATTGCCGAATGAACCCTGCATCAAGTAGTTTTTTAACTTCGGCGGCTGCCGCCTGACTTCTTTCTTCGCCATGGTTCCGTTTTTTCTGCCTTACCGGTTTCTTTTTCGGATCCACAGCCAGTTTATGTACCGCCAGGTCAGGACTAATGCCTGGCATTTCGTGGACTTCGAATGCAAATATGTCCTTGTATTCTTTCAATAGTTTGTGCAAATCGTCACCCAGGACTCTCAGAGCAGTCGTCTCAACTTTGTTTGTTCGGTCGGGACGTGAGTCGTCCAAGATCAGGTCCGTATGCTCACCAGCCGGCTGAGGGCGGAATTCGTCCGACCGCTCCTCTGCCAATGATTGCTATTTTCTGTCTTTTCTTGCGGCCCCCGTCTGGGCTGCCTTTCTCTTCTTGCCGCCTGCTTCTTGAACAGGCGCACTCTCCTTGACATTGTCAAGGTCTGCTTTTCCACCACTTGACCCAACGGTCATAACAGTGGGCTTGATATCCGAGAGATAGCACTCTCGGACCATCCTCTGATCTCCCTTTAGGGACCCGACTGTTCCATTATCCCTCTCAAACTTGAGCAACATAAGAGATGGGATTACAACAGACTTGGAATTATTCAGGGTTGGTCGTCCCAGAATCATGTTGTAGGCCGAGAGTTCTTCTACTACCAGGAACCGGACTACCATGTGTTGTCCTTCCCCTTTTTCACCCAGGCGGATGGGTAAATCCACTCGTCCCACTGGGTGGACGACTCCTCCTCCAAACCCTAGTAAAGGGTGGGATGCCGGATGTATGCAATCAGTTTGATATTTTAATTTTGACAGATATTTTCTGATAAGATCTGAGGAGCTTCCAGTATCTATAAGAATTCGGCCAACTCTTTGGTTGGCCACTTTACACTCAATAACGATAGGGTCGTCATGCGGCCCCCTTACCCCTCCTAGATCTTCTTCAGTGATGACAATCTCAGGAAATGAATATTTGGAGGGTCGTCCTTGGTGAACGGAATTTACATCTAGCCGCCTGATATTATCTTTGTTGCCCCTAATAGTGGGACCGCCTCCTGCGAAGCCGCCTGCAATGGTGTAGACGACTGCATCATCTGTATCAGAGCTGTCGGCCTGTTGACTCTTTTTGGCCGACTGCTTTTTCGAGGAAGTGTTCCCCGTGGATTTCTTGACATAAGAGTCAAGATCACCTTACTCAGCCAGGCGGTCCAGATACCGCATGAGACTGATGCATTCGTTGGTGTGATGACCAACATCTTCATGATAATCACAGAATTTTTCTTGGTTCTTGTTGCTTGCAGAACCCTTCATGGGGACCGGCTTCTCAATTGAGATCCGTCCCTTGATTTCCTTTAGGATAGCTTGGTTGTCCTTACTAAACGCATACTTTGGGGAGTATGGTTTGAATTCTTTTTTCTTCTTCTGGGCCGGCTGTTTAGAGGAAATAGTCGCCCAGACCTCTTTTCTTTTCTTCTCATCTTTGTTCAACAACTGTTTCTGTCGCCCTTCTTTTTTGTCGAACCTTTTCCCGTCCGACTGTTTTGTACTGCAAAGATCAGTCGCCTGTATATAGGCTTCCGCTTCAATCAAGGCCTCTTGAAGAGTCGCCACCCCTTTCGGACCAAATCAAATTTGAATGTCGATCCGTCTTTGAGGCCTCTGAAAAAGTCAGTATAGGCTACCTCATCTGGTAACCCTTGAATCTGTATTCTCATCAGGTTAAACCGCCTGATGTAAGAACAAAGCCCCTCCTTCTCGCCCTGCTGAATCGTTCCTAAATCAAGGGTCGTCTTCTTCGCAGGTATGTTCATGGCAAAGTTGGAGGTGAATAAGTAAGCAAGCGTCCTGAAGTTATTTACACAACCAGTCGGTAGGTTGCCGAACCATTGTTGTGCGATTCCTTTGAGAGTCGCTGGGAAACACTTGCACCAAGTGGGATCATCCAACCCTTGAAGGTACATCAGGTTGGTGAATTCCATCAAATGATCTTCTGGGTTAGTAGTGCCGTCATAGGCGCCTACTTATACATTTTTCACTTTGGTCGGCTGAGCGGCTTCAGCAATTTCCTTGGAGAAAGCCGACGGCTGTTCCCCAAGTCTAAGCAACCGTAGCTGCCAGTCCATAGGTTGGACATTTTTTGCTGCATGCCCACCAAACAGAGGTGGCTGCAAAAAATATTGTTGTTGCGGTACAAATGGTAAGTTTGGTACCGCTTGGTCGCTATGAAAGCCGGACTGACGGGAGGTGCCGCCTGACTGACTCTCATGATACGACTGAGTATACTTCATCGAGGTATTGCGTTGACTGTCTTGGAAGTTTGAAGTAGAGGCCGACTCTGACAATCGGTCATTCTTCTTCTGTTCTAGCAATAGCCGAGCATCTGTGTATGTTTTCTTCGACCTGTCCGCCTGAATATGACGAACAGGTTTTCTCTTTCCTGGAGTAGGAAAGCGGTATTTTGTGAAATCAAGGGCAGGCGGCTCCCACTTCCTAGGGTTAGGATGAGGGGTCGCCTCTCGCCCTTGAACTGGCTTCCTCTTCCCTGAAGTGGAAGGTTTCTTAGCCGACTGCTCCTTGGCAAGAGCAGGCTTCTTGTTGAGCAACTCTTGAATCTCTCCCTTGAAGCCCCTCATGAAGGTCATGAGTTCGTTCCTTGTAATGGGAGCAGACCCATCAGCCGGCTGCTGCTGAACAGGCGGTACGCCGGCTGGATCACTGAGTCCAGTTTGAAGATGTTCCCGTTCCCTCCTTTCGGTATGACGGGTGCGTCGGGCCCTTAGAGTCCCGTCTGAAGCTGTGTGAGCTTCAACTTCAAATTCATTCTCAGTATCGTGGTCCGACTAAACTTGAGGGTCGTCTAGGGGACGCCTCTCTTCAGGAGTCGGTACAGACGTGGATGCCATCTTAGAAGTACTCTCCCCACAGACGGCGCCAAAATGTTTCGGGTTTTCTGATGTCCTGCGGGAGAGTTACAATTCCGAGACTGGAACCGGACGCATGTACCTGCAAAACAAACGGATGCTCCGGATGATTGGAGATCCGTCTCCGACGGTCAAGTTAGTACTTGATTAAGGAGTAATTAATGCGGAAATTAAAGTGATTGGGTCTCTCTAGGTGAGAGTGTTTAATGTGCGTAATCCTAGGTTTAGGTTAACCTTGGGCTGATTGGGCTTCCCTCGGAAATTGGGCCTGGGTGGCCGGTTTCTCCATTAGGCATGGAGTATGCCACGTGTCATGACATAATAGGTCCAAGGTGGACGAATAAGCGTGTGCCACGTGGCAAGCCCTGGCAGTTCCAACTGGGGGACACTTAGCAGGACCTGATTGGCCCACGTGGCGCATTCCAATTGGTGGGAGCAAAATCCCCTAATCAAGTCTTTTATTTGGTATTATTTTTATTAAAAAAAATGAGGTAATTATTATTAAACAATTAGGTTAGATCCCGTGTCATGCACATTAATTTTTAATAACTATATTTAAAATTATGTGGAATTTTTTGACTTTCTTGTACGCTGTATTCATATTAATTGAATGCTAAAGAACAACAAAAATGGTTTGAAAAAATCTCACTAAGAATAATCAACATGAGTCATTCTTGGCAAGTATTATTAATGTATCCATAAATTATTAATTGATTGAAATTCTAAGCATAAATTATTTTTTTGCTTAAGTTTATACTTTATAGTGTCAATACTATTTTTGGAAAAATTCATCGAATCTTCTATTATACTTTGTATTATTATATGTAATTACTACTTTATATATGTAAGAACATTTGTTTCTAAAATATTTTTCTTTTTTTTTTAAAAAAAAAACCTAAAAGATACACCAAGAGATGACACGTGTCATTGATGGTGCATCTTTTAGTATATAGTTATTGATTGATGATTGATACTGCTTTATATTATTTTAGTCTTCGATAATACTTGTTAACTTTTTTTTCCCTTCCAATTTTGTTACTTTTGCAATAATGTTTAATTCAATTAAAAATAAAATGATTTTGTTAAGAAATATATATATACACTTTATTTTCTACTCTTAAAAGTCGTATCAATACTAATGCAGCATGTGCGGGTACTATCCTAGAATTTTCTTACAACAAATAAAAACTTTAAAGTCCTTTTTTTAAAAATCAAGTTTAAGTGTCACTAATCTTGACATTGATAGAGTTACATATAAAATTAAAGTTATATTTATTTTTGAATTAGTATTATGAGGTTTTTTTTTTTTATTATTTTTTTTTAATAAAATTCAATTCAATAACTCTTTATAAAATTTAATAATAACCGTGCATTGCACGGGACTTAAATTAGTTTTAGGAAAATTTGCGAGAAAGGTCCTTTTAAGTGGTCGACCTTGTGAGAAAGACCCTTTTATAAAAACGGTGGCACAAAAGGTCCTTTTATCCATTTTGGGTTGTGTAGAGGGTCCATTGACCGAACTTCGGCGTTGACTTTTTTTTTTTTTTTTTTTTTTTTTCCGGCCAAAAAATTGCACGTGACTACTTAATCCTCCTTTTTTTTTTTCTTTTTTTTTTCCCTTTTCCCCTCTTCTTCCCTCTAATTCCCTCGATTTTTCCCTCTTACCCAATTGAAACCTTATTTTAGCCCAGGTCAGAAAACTTGAATTGTTGTCCTTCAAATCACAATTGAAAGACAATCAAAGCCTATAAACAACAGGCGAATCAGGTATGGTGAGAATCCTTTGTCAATTTCAGGTTTTGTTTCGCAATTTTGTAATTTTTCATTGAATTTTCCCCTTTTCGCCTTCTGCTTGTTCTTCACCATTTTTACAGACCAAGTGAGCAATTTTGGGAAAAAATTGAGAGCTTTTACTACTTTGAAAGAGACAAAATAGGGGCAGAGTTAAACACTTACCAATTAAATAGCTTGTGGGGTTAATCTCTTGCCATAAAACAATTCGCCATTAATTCCATCAACAATGCATCGCCATTAATGGTGGGTTAGCTTCTTGTCACATCACATGGGTTAAAGGGAAATAAGGGAGGGAAATATTTTAAGGGGAAAGGGGAAAATAGAGGGTATTAGAGGGAAGAACAGGGGAAAAGGGGAAAAAAAAAAAAGAAAAAAAATGGAATTATGTAGTCACGCGCAATGCACGTGACTTTTTTTGGCCGGAAAAAAAGTCAACGCTGGAGTTTGGTCAACGGACCCTCTACACAACCCAAAATGGATAAAAGGACCTTTTGTGCCATCTTTTTCATAAAAGAGCCTTTCTCACAAGATCGACTACTTAAAAGAACCCTCGCCAATTTTCCATAGTTTTATAAAAAGGTTAAGATAATTTGCCAATTACTACCGCAAGTTAATACCACTTTATAAATTACTACCGCAAATTAAAAAAGTTGTGAATTACTACTGCAAAAAATTTTAAGATGTTGCGATTACTACGTCAATATATCCCTTTAACCCGTGTTTGACCATGGTTAAGGGCTTTAACCAGCCCCCCAAAAAAAAAGGAAATGGTTTAGGGATATAATGACGTCATGGTTAAGGGTTTTAACCATGGGTTAAAGTGATATAATGACGTCATAGTTGGTTTTAATGGGGGTTTGGTAGTAATCGCAACATCTTAACATTTTTTGCGGTAGTAATTCACAACTTTTTTAATTTGCGGTAGTAATTTACAAAGTAGTATTAACTTACGGTAATAATTGGCAAATTAACAAGAGGAGCGTTATCAAGGGGAGCATCGTTTAGTACAACGGTACAACCTTTCAAAAATCTCAGCTACACAATTTATCCCGCTCAAATTCAAAAACCATTTCATTTCTTCACTGTTTTTTGAAGAGAGAAACAAAGAGGGAAGACAAAAAGGGCACCTCAAAGAAGCTCAACAATGGCGGAAATTGAGCAAGATCAACAATTACCTCGAAAAATTGCAGGAATTCTTGATGAAAGCAAAGCTTCATATGCAACTCACAATCGAAAACTCAAGGAACTCTCGAATCTCAGATCTTCATCACCTACAGATCTCTTCTTCGCTTCTTACCGTAAAGCTCTATTACCTGTTTTCAATTTCCAGCGACGAACTGCCTCTGCTGAGTGCATCATCCGCTTCATTTCCACCTTCGCCTGTTTCACTGACTCCAAAAATTCCGCCATTGATGATCAATTCTTCGAAGCTTTTATGCGGTTTCTTCTCTCTGCTGTCACTTCCGCTAATAAAACTGCTAGGTTTCGTTCATGTCAGATTATTTCTGAGGTACAATTATCTTTCATTTTATTTAATTTAGTTTAATTTAATTTTTCATGAAAAAAAATTAAAAATTAAAACCATCCAATTTATGACCTGTTTGTGAAAATATTCAATTTGGTTCATTTGCTATAATTCAGCAATTATTGTACTCCGTATCTTTTATTTTATTTGAATCATCATGTAGTTAGGGTTCCTTCCTGTGATTCTTACCTTGTCATTAGGGTTTTTTCCAGTTGGATTTGTTTGATAATTAGGGTTTTTCCAGTAGGATTTGTTTAATGATTACTGTAATTTTTTTTTTCTTCCTATTTTGTCTTTTGATGTATTCATGCCCATAATATGAAATGTTGAAAGCAGTTGTCATGATGAACCTGATTTTAATGCATAAAAGCAGTTGTCAAGAATTTCAAATATGCTTGAATTTAATTTTTTTAAAAAGAATTTCAATATTGAGTTTCCTTAGCAAGTAGAGTATGTTGAAAAAATTACTATATACTTAAATGCTATTGCCACAAAACATCCATCGTTGTCAATTTCTAGTTTAATGATGGTATTTTGATTTTTACAACATTAGAATACTTAATTATAATGCTTATTTCATATATGTTCCTAATATATGATGATGGTAATTGGACCAGTGAAGTAATAAACTTTTTAGGTTGATATGTACTAGAGTTTTTAAGGCAAAGAATGCCAAATTCTTCGTTATAAAAAAATGCTTACTTCATGTTTCTAGAAATGATATCTACAGCAATGACTACAGGTCTACGGGCTATAATATACAAAAAAATTTATTCTCATTGTGATCTCAATGCTTCTGAAGTTGGAGCATGGATCCAGTGAATGTCCTACTTATATGGCAGCTTGGTTTTAAAAAGCATGCCTCGGGAGCGCCCTGCTCCCAAATGGGCTTTAGCTAGGCGAGGCTTAGTCACCTATGGAAGGCTCGCGCCTCGTGCGCCTCAATGCGCCATTGGTAAGGCGCGCCTTTGTGCCTCAAGGAAAATAACTAAAATTTAAGTTATAAATTGAAGAATGATAGACATTTTTTCAAATTCTGACTACCTTAGCTTTACATATATTATTTTTTAATTTATTATGCATCTTTTTAATTGCTATTAAGTACAATCAAATTAAAAATAATTTGAAATGAATATATAAATACGTGCGCCTAGCATACAAAAGGCATGCGCCTTCGCCTTGCGCCTAGGCTGCAAGGACCATTTGTGCCTTGGTGCGCCTTGCGCCTTTTAAAACTAAGTATGGCAGATACTGAAAATGTAGTTTAGACGCATTCATGTGCAGATGCTTTCTTTCTTTCGTAGCTTATTATTTAGAGAAATCCTAAAGAAGCCTTGTTTACATTACTGTAGAAACTTTTATTATGCAAACTATGTCTTAACATCTGAATAATGCTCTGTATAGATGGTATGTCTCTAGTTCACTTTTCCTTTTTTCTTATTTTTTGTGGCATTTTCTGCTTTTTAGATCATAATGCGGTTGCCAGATGACGCAGAAGTGAGCAATGAGCTTTGGGATGAGGTGGTAGACAGCATGACTATACGGATGGGGGATAAAATTCCTGTAATTCGTACATTTGCAGTTAGAGCTCTATCACGTTTTGTGAATGATTCTGAGAACAGCGAAATACTTAATTTATTCATTAAAACCCTGGATTCAGAACAAAACGCGGTATGTATTAATGTTTTCTTGCAGTAGTAAGCTGTTCACTGACATAGAATCTTGTTTTAGAATCATGTTCAGGGATATTTCCCTCAGTATAAAAAACCTTGTAATTTAGAATTGTGAATTCGTGATGCAACCATGCAGGATGTAAGAAAGACTATTCTGCTAGCACTCCCCCCCACTAATGCAACATCGTCAGTGATAATTGGTTGTACTCTTGATGTCAGCGAGTCAGTTCGCAAAGCAGCATATTTTGTCTTGGCCAATAAATTTCCCCTCCAGAGTCTCAGGTAAACTTCACTTAGCTGCTCAACGTAATTGCCTATTTTGCTTTTCTTGAGTACCTTAGGTTAGGTTATAAATTCTTTTGAAGGTTCTAATTTTCCACTTGGCTGAGTAGATCATGAATATACGTTATGGTTTGATGTCCAAGACAATACAGAACCCTTATTTTTTTTTGTACAATGCTATTTTCTGTTGCAGAGTATTATACACTTGTTGAGTATAAAATAATCATTATCATGATGCATCGAACATCCAACCATGTATCTCTTTCCTTTGGTATTTTTAACTACTTGAAATAATGAAAATGAAGGAATGGCTTCTATCCCAAATCCCAATGAGCAACGTGCATTAGCCTTGAAATTTTACGAGTTAATAAAAGCATCATACATAAACTGTAGATGGCTTGATTTGAATTCTTTCCAATTTTGAATGGGATTCAACATTAAAAAATATCCAGTATATTTTCATATCCTTTATTTATTCTGTCCACCTCCCCCCCCCCCAAGTTCCCTTTATCTTTATATATAGTGTGAAGGTTAGTATTTGATCCTGATAATGTTTATTTTCTATCTTTATTTAGTCCTAGCTTGATGTACATGGTGTGACAATTAGTAAGAATATGCTAATGCTACTGAATACATGGTCTTTTGTGGTAAAACCATTTATTTATTTATCCATTTGTAAATTTCCAGCATCAAGCTCCGGGCTTTAATCCTTCAGAGAGGACTATCTGATCGTGCACCAGCAGTTGTGAAAGAATGTCTTAAGTTAATGAAAGATGAATGGTTAAGCAAAAACTGCAACAATAATCCTATTGAACTTCTTAAGTACCTTGATGTAGAAACATACGAGAGCATTGGTGTTTCTGTTATGAGGGCTCTCTTAGATGCTGGGATGGGTAAGCCTGATGGAAATCAGAAGATACAGCAGTTCAAGGAATCATCCTGTGATGGAGCTAGAGGTTTGAGCATTAAAATCCACTATTTTCACGTTCATGCTTCATATACACATAATGTATTAATTTGAACTTAAAACTTGTTTTAAGTAAAACTTTCACTGAATGTGTAGTGGTCCCTGTTCAATTCCTGAGATGTTGTGACACAAACTTTGATAGCTCCTGAGGAAGCTTGAATTTTTTTAATAAATCTTTAAATGTGCTATTTGTAAGTTTTGCATTTGTGTTTTAGATCAACTTAATGCTTGCAGATTCAGATAATGACAGCCTAGGCCATGAACTACTGGAACCAGAGGTTGCCCTCTATTGGAGGGTTGTGTGTCAGCACCTACAAAAAGAGGCACAGGTTGATGTTTTCTCATTTCTTTTTTACATGGACAGCGTTCTTGCCATTCTATTTTAATTCTCTTTTTTGCTTTTGCTTGAAAATATAACTTTTCCTTACAAATCTGAACATGCACTGAGTATAGTTTTCTCATGTGTGCTGGAAATATAATTAAATTTTGTTAAATGTTTTGAGATGGGTGGAATTTGGAATATACTTACGCCGTCTATGTCAGTGTTAGAGCTTTTGATGTTGTAAGGATAATTTTTCAATTTTTCCGTACAAACACTCATTAACTCACTCTTGCTTCATCTACTGACAATAATAAATGCATAGAACAATAGAGGTTTAGGTCTCACCCAACATATGAGACTATTTGTACACATTCAATTCGTAATATCCATTTAATTTATTTTTTTTTTAATTTTTTTTTTCTATTGATGCCACAAGTGTAAGAACACTGGAATAGTGATCCCAACAATATATGAATCTTATGAAATGGAGAATACTACAGTAGTCTGATTCAGTGGGAATTTTTTTTTCTTTAGACAGTTCCTTATGACGATTCATGCTAGTCGACCCTAAATCATTTTGGGACTAAGGTTTTGTTGTTGTATAGAGGGTTGATGTTCTACTTTCTTTGGATTATTCTTAGTATATTGTTGCTTCACTGCTGGCAGTTACTATGTTCCCCCTTGGTCTCTCTCAAATTCCCGGGGTTTGTGAACTAGAGAAATATTTTAAAAGAAATCCATTCAGTTTCTACTTATTTTGATGCATCATTATTTTATTTGATTCTTTGGATCCCAAAGAAAATCTACAAACTTGTTTTTTCAATACAGCCAGTGTTTGATTAAATTTGCTGATTTTCATTATGAGTAGGTACAACTGTTCAGCTGGATTTTTATGCTTCCCTAGTACACTCATTTGCCTTTTCACAATGACTACATACTTCAACATGTATATTAAGTATGTGAATGGCTGTTTATTCTACATGTATATTATGTTTGTGAATGGCTGTTTATTCTACATGTATATAAACTATGTGATTGGCTGTTTAAACTACATGTATATTAAGTATGGTAATGGCTGTTTATACTACACAAAATGACATAGTTTGCTCCAAATGTTCTAATTTGGAGGGAGAACGTTTCATATTTGTTTATTCCCCTAATATTTTAGTTTAGAATATGTCACATTAGTAAGTAAGGTGAATATTTTATAGATTAACTTGATTGCTGGGAGTCTTGATCCTAGAGAAAAGACATATCATTATGTCAGTCTTGTGTTGCATATTCTAGAACCTACCAACAGCCAATGTCAAAATGGATGGTAACAGCAATAGTAGATTAGTAGTAGTAGTTGCAGTAGCTGTAGTATAAAAATAGTGCCTAAGTGGCTGAAGCCCAAGGCAATTGGGGACAACCAGACAGGCAGACAAGTGCTTTCATTAGTCTGGCAGAGCACTTTGAAAAAGTCAAAAAGCCATACTAAATTCACCTGTGGCTATAGTTTCATTTGCAACCTATTTTTACACTTAAAATTTTCAGAATTGTATCTTGCTTTGATAAGGCACACCTGCGTTTAGCGCGTTGGCTTTTGGACCTTAATCACCTTAGTGTGCCTTGAGCCTTTTCAAATGCGTATAGGTACGATAGTTCTGTCTTACAGACTTTAAACATGTTCTTTTTTTGAACTTTAATGGCATAAATACTTGGGAGAGAGTACCTTGTACCCTATAATTAAGTCAATAATCATAAATTAGTAATCAGTAATGTCAATGTATTTCTGTCTTCAATGAGCTTTGTTGTTGAGTGACCTCGTGAGACATGTGAAATTCACAAATATCTGTGTTGACAGGTGAAAGGTTCTGATGCTGCTGCAACTATGGGCACTGAAGCTGCAGTCTATGCAGCAGAAGCTTCTGACAGCAGTGAGCTCCTGGAGAAAGTACTCCCCGCAACAGTTTCTGATTATGTGGAATTTGTCCAAGCACATATTAAAGCGGGTAGGTGAAGCTCATTTCTTTGACCTGATTTTGTGTGTGCTCCTTCTGAAAAATGGAATCTTTTCAGGAGCAAATTATCGGTTTGCATCACGGCAACTGCTGTTGCTTGGTTCTTTGCTTGACTTCTCTGATGCTACAATCAGGAGGATTGCCAGCACATTTGTACAGGACTTGCTGCATAAGCCACTTGAATATGAAATAGATTGCAGTGAAAACAAGATTTTGATAGGAGATGGCATCAATATTGGTGGCGAAAGGGACTGGGCCAATGCTGTAGCAGGGTTGGCAAAGAAAGTTCATTCTGCTGATGGAGAGTTTGAAGAAGTTGTTCTTCACGTTGTGGAAGAACTTGCTAGGCCATGCAGAGAAAGAAGTGCCGACTTCATGGAGTGGTTGCATTGCCTTGCTGTTATTGGTCTTCTCTTGGAAAATACAAAATCGTTACCCTTGCTACAAAGGAAGGCTATTGAACCTATTGAATTACTAAACGCCTTGCTGCTTCCAGGGGTATGAAAGTAAAAATTTTCTGAATCACTCTGACATTACACCTTTTTCATTCTACCCCATCCCCATTTTATTTCTGGATATTGCTACTGAAATGAAATATGTATGCAGGCCAAGCATCTTAATTTGGATGTGCAAAGGGTTTCTGTCAGATGTCTTGGTCTTTATGGATTGTTGGAAAAAAGGCCAAGTGAAGAAGTGGTGAAACAACTAGGATTTTCGTTTGCCAAGGGCCCCTCTCCAATCAGTCTTCTAGCTGGCAAGGGATTATTAGATCTTGTAACGTGGCATGGACCTCAAGATGTTGATAGAGCTATAGGTGAAGATATACTCTCACAAATCCCTGATAACAGGCTGTATCCTGCCCCTGAAATAGGTGATAAAGTTGATTGCAACAGTGATGGAGTACTCTATCTTTTATACATTGGATTAGAAAGTAATTTTGATGACCAAGTATTGGATGTGGGGGGCAACGAGTCAGTCCAAGCTACTCTAGGGGAAGGTTTTGCAAAGATTCTTCTTCTGAGTGAGAATTATCCTAGCATTCCTGGTTCCCTGCATTCCTTAATATTGGCCAAGTTAATTGCTTCCTATTTCAGCGAGGAAAACAGTGAAGTACAGAGGTAACTCCATAAGCTTCCCAGTGCTTTTTTGTGGTTCTGCTTTTAGGAGCAGTTGTTTAGCTTTTGTTTCCCCCTTTTTTTTCTTTAAATTTTCTTTTTTTCAACAGGTTAAAACAATGTCTGTCGGTGTTTTTTGAGCATTACCCTTCACTGTCAGTTAATCATAAGGTAAGTAAATTTTTTACAATTATATAACATATTTTGAGCTTATTTACATCTTCACATTCTGACGGCATGACATTATGTGTTCTGTCTTGATTTTCAGAAGCATCTATCCAAGGCCTTTGTTCCAGCAATGCGTGCAATGTGGCCTGGAATTAACAGGAATCATAGGGGATCAGTGGTCATGATATCTAACTTGCGTAAACGTGCAGTTCAAGCATCACGTTTTATGCTACAGATGATGCAGTCAATATTGTACAAAAAGGAGACCGATAATCATGTAGATAACCCTGAGGATAATCCAGGTTCTGTAGATGACACTGATGGATTTGTGGCTGGAGAGGAGGGTCTTGCTATACGCATTGCCGTTGAGGTATTACTTATGACTTTCTCATTGATTTAAGTAACATTCTGTTTTTAAAAAAGTGAACAACCTTTGATTCATCAACAATAGCCATTCGAGAAACATGCTTTTATGGGACTGTTATGTGCAGCCAGAGCCCAAATTAAGCTGAGCATATAAACTTCTCTCAGTTACTGGAATAATGTTAAGAATCTTAAGCTATATCGTATCAGAGTGTGGAAATCCTATTCTTAACATGTAAAATTTGGAGATGGACTTGTAATATTTTTATATGCCTTAATGGGTGAGAAGCATGAGTTTATTTTGAGATATATGCTTTAGCAGTAGAGAGGTTATATATGTTGATTTAACTCTTTATTATTAATGTAAATGGCATGAGGTGACATATTGGAATTTACATACGACTCCATAATAAGTAATTATCACTCTTTTGTATTCTTAAGGTGACTGGCTTTCAGACAAAGAAAACAGCAGCAGAAAAAGCTTACGTTGCAGCACTATGCAAGATCATAATATTACTCCATTTCCGAGTGTCAGAACAAGGAGCAATCAAGTTGATGCGACTCCTGCTAAATTGTGTTGTTGGATCTGTCTCATATGATAAGGAGCTCGTTAAAGAGCTGACTAGCATGGCTAAACAATTGAAGGCATTGGATGGTAGTCCAGATGAAGACCTGTCAAGAGATAAAGCTGATGTCATTCTAGGTAAACCCTTGAACTTGCTCTAGATTCTGTGATTCTCTCTATTATAAAAACTTGTAATATTGCCAGCTACAACAATTAAAGATTGTTGATTGCCAGAAAATTAAATGATACCAACTATTTTTGTTTGTTGATATACCATTTCAAGCTTGCAGAACTTCTCACCCTTGGATAAATGATAGACAAACTGGGATTTAGGAAAATAGCGTCCAAGAATTTTTGGGATTTGAATTATGTGAGATTTGGGACAGGTGGCTGAGTTTGAATTTTGTATAGTAAATTGACATACAGGAATGTTGTCTGTATTTCAAGGCCATTGAAGAAAAATAGTTAGCAAAAATTAAGAGTAACATGTTGGTAAACTAAAAAAAATTTGAAAAAATTTGAGGTATCAGGTTTAATATTTGTTGATTCCATGTGTGATTCCATATATGGTGGACCACATGTCCCTTTAAAGGTTTTACGTAGAGGCTAGGCAATGAAAATCCTTCTAATCTTCCTTTGCGTGATATTTTGTGCTTGTGCAACAATTTATAGCATTTTCAATGTACTTAAATGATCACCAGATGAAATATCAACTAGCAACTGCCTAAGAGATTTTCACTTCAACTAGCAATAGGGGACAGTTATTTATGTATAACCTCCAAAATTGAACATTAGAATATGAAACACTATAAACTTTGAAGGATTTTCTTGCTTAAGCTTACCTGTACCAGTGTAAAGAATTCCCATGATCTTCCTCTATGTTCATGACTTAGTGGTGTTGCAATGTTTGTCCATTTTCTCTCATTTACTGATGTTTCTACCCTTTAGTCCTTTACTGACATTTTCAGACCAAGGGTTCGATTATTTGAGGGTGATTACAGATTCTGCTTAATAGTAGAAACAGTGACTGGTTAATAATGTCTTGTTGAATGATTTTTAACAGTACCTTGACTTATAACTGATAAGTTGATTTTTTTCAAGCTATAATTTTACCTATCAATATCATATACTTCGTATGTTTTAGGGAGTACAAATATGAAATAATGGGTATAACCATATCTTTGGCATTACCTCAGTAGCATCATACATCACCATTTCAGTTTGTTGGAAATATGATGGGAACTTTACAAACTACTTGGTTATGGCCACACAAGATTTTAGGTGACTAGTTAGGGCGCGTCTTACTGTGTTAAGCTCCTTCCAAATCCCTTAAATTCTTGTGGCAATCTATTGTTTTCATCAGATTGTTTTATTGTTAATGTTCGGTGTTCTTAGGATCATTGGAGCTAGAGTATAATCTTGACGAGGATCATACAAGTGAAATGCCAGCAACTCCAGCTCAGCGCTCCACACGACCAACCCGTTCAAGAAGGCGTGTACAGCGTGAAGAAAGCAGCTCTTCTGACGAGGAAGTTTCAGTGATGTCTATTGTTAACTCAACTGTTCGGTCAGGTGCACGTTCCCAAAGGGCCTGCAAAACAGCAGCATTGACAAAGATGACTACTAGTAGGGCTTATGATGGTATCGACGAGGAAGAAGAGTCAGATTTAACTTCTGATGAGGAGGCCAACAGTTCAGACTCATCACCTCAGTGAGTTGATGCTTCCAGAGACCTCTACATTTGTAATATAATTTAACTTTCTTTTTTTTTTTTGGACAAGTGTAATTTGTCAGAGAAAATGTGCAGATAAAACTCTCATATTTTTTTTTTTTGACGAAAACCGAGCTCAAACTTTATAAATCAAGCGAAGGCATTAAATCAGCCAAAACAAATTCAGATATACAATGAGGAACTTCACGGTTACCGATTGCCTCAAGCTGCACAACCATCTTTCCAAGCGTCTAACTCTGATGACATTAAATGGAGATGTTTTATTATAGTTGGGTCTTGTTAGCTTACAACTAACTAATTAACTGTACTGCCCATTAGAGCTGTAAAAAATTGAACCGACCCGAGAACCCGACATAAACTGATAATGATCTGAACCTGACCTATCCGAACAATGGGTGAAACTAGTGACCCATAACCCGACCTGAACCAACCTGATGTTAACCGACAACTGATTTGATTCAATATTTTATGATCTGAATTCGAACCTGCACCCAAACTGATAGTAACTGTCAACCAATTTAATCCGACCCTATTAGAACCTGAAAACGTTTATAACCCAACACAACCTATTATTGAAGCGAGTCATGGACAATTTAATAAATTTTAGGGGTTTTTTAAGTTATGCCCTCCAAGTTCTTTGGTTTCTAAGATATACCCATGCTTTTTCAAATTTATAAGCTGTGCCCTCCACCTCACAATATTTTATCAATAATAGCCTTTAACATGCATATTCGTTAATGAAAGTTAAGTTATTTTATCAACAAATGGTTTGAGGCGTTAATTTGACAAGTGTCCCGTTCTAATTGGTTTAACACTTTAAAAAAAATAATTAAAAATTCATAAAATAAAATAATAAAAAAGGTTATTGTTAATAAAAATTAGTGAGGTTGAGAGCACAGCTTAGACGTTTGAAAAAGCATGGGCACAGCTTAGAAACCAAAGAAGTTTGGGGCATAACTTAGAGAAACCCTAAATTTTATATACCTTTTATTCTTTATTACTTTGTATATAAGTGTAATAAAATCTTGATAATGCTTGAACAAATTATGCAGAGCGTAATTAAATAAATTAACTTGATCACATCGAATTTATTCGAATTGAACTTGAACCAAAACCAAGAATGATCCAACTTTAAGATTATTCGACCAAATAATTATCTGACCCAACCTTAACCCGAACCCGAATGTACCATCTACTAACCCGACCAAATCCGACTCAATACAACCCGAACCTGAAATTGAACCCATTATGAATTTGACTCAAATCAGACCCGATCTATACCCGAAAGGATGAACGACCTGGAATAACTTGAACCGAAATTGACTCGACCGGAACCTAAACCTGATCTGAGGCTAGATTGGCCTGACACAAACTGATCCTGATTTAACCCGACCCAAACCCGACTTGAATACCTGAATTGACAGCTCTACTGCCCATGTCTCTTAGAGCCTGTAGTTGCTTGTTACAACACTTTCTTTGTGGGAGATAATTTTTGCATTAGCCAGACATAAGCCCCATTGATGCAACTTGTGGTACAAGCAGCTGCAGTTGCAGCTACAGCAGCTAGTGATGACTCACGAGCAACAAGCGACAACTATGAGTACAACACGCAAGCAGATACTACGCATAATACGCTTAAATAATCATACACTTCACTGTAGACTACTAATTAATTTTTCAACTAGGGTTAACTTATGATTGTGTCTCCTTTCTAAATCTAAACTAGTTTGTGACTTGAGCAATGCCCCAATTTATTTTATTTTATTATATTGGAAAAAAATCATTCATAATAAAATTATGTTGGTACAATACTTCTTAATTACATGTAAAATTTGAATTCGGAAAAATTTCAATGCACAATAGTCAATTATTTGAAGATTGGATAAATGGGATTGTTTAGTGTAATACATTCCCACGTTTATCAAACAGTATAAAACTGTTATATCTATATATGTCTTGGTTAATACAAAAGAGATTAAGAAAAGAAAAGTCACCAGTTACAATTAGTTAAAGGAAAAATTACCGGCAATAATCAAACCTTTGCCTTATCTGCCTAAAATAATCCTACTTTTCAAAAATGGCTTCAAGTGACTTGTAACCGGTTATGTAAGTAATTTTATTTTTTTTAAGTTTTTACACATGTCAACACGTGATTGATCAAAAAAATAATAATAAAAAAATTAAACAATTTTTTTTTTTTAAAAAATAGAAAATTCTAATTTAAATAAAAACAACCACCACCATTATTTTTTTTAAAAAAAAACCCCACCACCACCATACCCCCTTCAGCCACCAGGCCACTACCATCCCCACCTGACCGGCTGACCGTACCCCACCGTAAAAAAACGCCACTCCCAGCCCGAAATCGACCGCACCGACCGGAGCCCCATCCCAACCAACCCCAAAACTCCTTCGAAACCCCACCAACCCTAAGCCCATTCGAAACCCCACCAAACCAGATCCCAAGAAACGGGATGGTTAAAGAGAAGAGGGGTCGGAATCGGGACGGTAAGGATGTCGGGATCGCACGGAGGCGGGTGGGGATGGAAGGATTTATGGAATGTTTGCATCTTTGCGATAATACGAGAGGTTGCCGAGGTGTTTAGATATTGCCAAGAAAGTTGGTTTTCGTGGCGGTGGAAGGGTGGTTGGTGGTGGAGGGGGGAGAGTGAGCGTCGGCACTGAGGGAGGGGGTATGAGCAGTCGGCGCTGCGGGGCAGGGGAGTCCGGCAGTTGAGCTGACGGGAATGGGTGGCGCGGAGGGTGGCTTGGGCTTCCCCTTTTTAAATAATTAATTTTTTTTTCTTAGAAAATAATTTTAAACTTTTTAATTTTTTTTTGACCAATCGTAGGCCGACACGTGTCAAGTAACTTGTTTTATCAAGTTAGTGGACCAGTCGAGACAATTAGGAGCGGATTGAGTATAAAGATCGGATTATGAAGAAATAATCGAAATATGAGATTATTTTAGGCAGATGAGGCAAAGGTCAGAGTATTCCCGATAATTTTTCCTTAATTAAATATGAAAGGTATAGAAATAATAGTTTCAATTAGTTCAAGGGAAGGACAAAAGTCACCAATTATAAAATCTAAACACAAATGAGAACAATATTTACAGTACACTTGACTGGATATAGTTAATGGATACCATGAATGATCATGTGATAGCATATAGTTAATGGATATCATGGCTTTCTCCTTAATAAAGTATGGAAAATAATTAATGGATGTTTTTAAGGCATTTTAAATTGAGGTTTTTCTTCTTCATTGGAGTCCATGATAGATTAAAGACCAAGAGTCATTTAGAAAATAACTACACGATAAAAGTTATTATTATTTTTTTGGGGGGGGGGTAACAATAAAAGTTATTAATGGTACTATAGGGTATTCAAGCATCCCACACTTGAGCCTCATTGTGATCATATACTTAAACATGGTGGCATCCAAAGGGGAGGAAGCTAGAGTAAAAGAGTCGCCAACAAGTTTTAGGAACTTGTAAACCGTTCACATGGTGAAGGTTACACCCCTTCACAATCCATGAGATTGTTAACTCCATAGTGGTCTGGAACCATGACTAGATATTCGGCGATGAAGGTACAAATCCAACCTAAAAGAGATTGAACCTGGCCTAATAATAAGCCTCTACTTTATTCTTCTCATATTCACGTGCGCTTTCTGACTAACATACAATTAATAGATTAATCCTAAACCTGTTTAGTCTATGTTGGTTGAATATTAGTGCACAAACAAATATATTATTGACGATCCCTTGAATTATAATCATATTAGCCTAAACAAGATTATTAATTATTTTATCAAGTGTAATTACAAGTATCAATTCCCTTTAAAACATGCATAAAAGACGTGATCAAGCAATAGCAATAATATCAAGCAACAATAACAATCATCATCATCATAATAATTTTCTCATTAAAGCATAATAATAATAGCAAGATCCTAGGCATGATACTAACAAGATTAATAACAAATCCTAGCATGTCACTAAACAATAAGATCAAAGCTTTAACCCTAACATGATACTAACATGATATTAGAAAGAATAGGAAGCAACCTAAACATGATACTAGAAAGCAATAAAGGCATTCTAACATGATACTAGGAATTAATATAATATAAACTTGCTCTATATCAAAAGAATAATTAAATTACTTACTTGGATGCCTCGTATCTCTTTTGAACAACAAAATACATGCGTTAGTAACTTCAAGGAAAATATTAAATAAAACAATTAAATTAAAAAATTGAAAGAGAGATTTGGGACCAAACCCTCAGAAATTATCAACCTTTCACGTCTAGGGTGAAGACAACTTCGAACTTAGCTAGGTGTGTCTAGAACTCGTGTATGCGGAATTTTGTATTAGGGAAAGGTTTAGAAAAAGAATAGAGAGGGAATAAGCTTCTAGCTTTTAGAGAGAGAAAGAATAGATGATTGTTGATGAATAAAAACAGGGAAATACGACCCCTATTTATAAGAAAATAGTTCGAAATCGATAGAAACAAATCAGAATTTGAATTGGAATAAAACAGATCCCTGTCGCAAGCGACAGAGCCCAGCGTAAAACGACAGGAATCACGCATGGCGACAGGCTCTGTCGTTTAGCGCTGATTAAAAGATAAAACGCGCCTTTGTACGGAATCCTCTTCTTAATATAATGAAGCGATTTAAACTCCTTTTTAATCAATTTTAAATCAGAATTTATCAAAATAAAACACTTGTTTTATTTCAAACCAAATTCATTATTTTTCTAACAGATTAATTATCAATCCTATTGCTATTAAAACTCAAAATAACCTTCTAGACTATTCTAGAAGACTATAATCAATCCTAATAATTTTAGGAATAATAATTAGTGGGCCCTCCACTAGATCTTTGGGCCTTAAAACCATCTCAGACTCAAATTAGTATTTGGACCATAATTTCCTCATTATTCATCGGAATTGGGCTTATAATATATCATTAGAAAGCTCTTTACGAGCCCGACCCAACTACACTATTAATGGACCCTTATCATGGACCAAGCTAAATTGGACTGTCTATTTTCATAAATAGAGAAGACTTTCAAAAACAAAATGAAAGATTTTTATAAAACTAACACATCACAAGACTTTTCACACTTTCTCCTCATTCGATAAACAAGCAACGTGAAAAGTATTCATCACTGGGTTTGGTT